CTCTTCCTCCAATTCTGTTTCTTTTCTCGTTAGAAACAAACATCCATTAGAATTGACTTGTTCGTCGTCCAATTCGTTGTTTATTTTCATCATAGCCTTCATGTGGCCGTTGCGAGTATCGCTCTTACGAAAATTCGCAGATTCGGCGCTCGAAGCAAACGTGTTTAAGAGGCCGACGACCGCGACTTTCTCCTCTTATGCTAATTTCGTTAATATGCTATTTTCACGACTCTCATACTTTACAGGAATGTTGCTTGACCATTTGGTATGTGCTGCACGAAATGATCCAGACAAGAAATATCCTTGGCGAACAGAAATAATTAAGAAGCTGTTTACGGTGTTCACGGTGTCGCGTGAAATCGTGTTAAACGCGAATAAACACTATTCGAAACGTTGACACTTTATTGTTTCGAAGCGTCTCGAGATCAACTGAGATTCCGACTAACCGACTAACGCGTAAACGAGCTGCCACGGCGAAATAGGTCGCCTATACAAATTCAATCGGCAAAAACTTTCGAAAGAATTTCGAAGGTTCGGATCGTTTTAATTTCAACTTTGGAATCTGAAACGATCGATCGGTTGGTTTCTCCATTCGACGGGAACAAGTATTATACCGAGTGACATCGCTCGTAATACACTGCGAGGACAGAGTTCATTGCCCCGTTAAAGAAGGCGGGTGTAGTGGCCCCGACTGGCATTTCTGGGTTTATTGCCTCTCCTCAATCGCGAATAACGCTGTCGTGTTTCTTTCTCTTGCTCCGCAAGATGCGATACCTTTTTCGAATAAAATCGCCGATACGAACACCAGAATACGCTTCTCTCGTCTTCTCTCTCGCATCTTCTCGATTCTCTGTTCGCAACTATTTCACCTCTGCTTGGATTTCCGTTTGCTCGATCATTCCCTTATGGTTCGTGTAACGCTACCGACGTTCCACGAAATTCAATACACACTTTATTCTCTTTGCTTCCATTTCAGTGCCGACATTTTAAAAGAATATTTCAACGCAATCAAATTTCATCAAATTTACCGTAAAACCACTCGATTAGTCCATTTAAAGTTGAACGTTGAAACTGAACTGAAACTACAATACTAACGACCAACCGATAATTATCGATTACGGAAAGGGAGTTGGAGAACGAAAATGGCAAAGACGTCGACGACGTCGACGACGAGGAGGACAGTGACGACAGTGGTAATGTAGATGACGACGGCGGTAGTGATGTCGACAGTACCGTATATATTTACATGTGTATATGTGTACATGTATATACATATGTACATATGTACATACAATATCGAAGAGGTGCGGCGCGGTGCGAAGTAGTGTGGTACAGCGACATCCGCAACCGTGGTTATGCGGCACAAATTTTGGTGGGGATGGAGGACACTTTCACTCTCACAGGTGTATGACCGAGTCAGCAGCTTGGAAATACTCGTTACCTGAACGAACGACAGCTATAGGAAGACAGACGGAGAGCACGAGAGAAGGATGCAGCTGATAGAAGAGAACTGTACAAGAGAACACGAGGAAAACATTCGAATTTGTAAAATCTCAGCAATTCTCACAGCGATCGATCTCGTCAATTTCTGGGAGAATACAAGTTTCAATGGAACAAAGGTATTTTGCGGTTACTGAGAAGACACATGGAACGAAACAAACTGAAGACACGAGGAAACGACAACGAAAGGTACATTCGGTAGAATTGTATCGATCGTTCGGAAAACGGAAGGAATCGTCGTACATGGTCTGCCAGATAACGGCCCAGTAGTCACATAGTTGCACGTACCTGAATCAGTACGCATTGCTTTTCTTCCGACCGATTGATTTTTTCATCATCCCGAAGCCTGTCGTTTGCCTTCGTCGAATCGCTACAGTCAACAATTACAATTGACAAATTACTAATTATTTCGTGTTTTACCAAGGTATCGCGTCTTCGTGGAATTCGAGGTTTCTCCGGAACGATGTTCCAGCACAATATTACCGTAAGCATGATGCATGATTATAAATTAATATAAA